GATCGGTGTGTTCGTGATTATTGATTCTGACGAACTTGTTGCCACTGAACTTGGCAAGGTACTCGATCATACTTGTTTTACCAGCTGAAGTGGGACCTTGGACGAGGACTGGGAATCGCCTTGTTGATGTAGCACGAACAAGGTTGAGCATATTACGCTCCACAAAGGGAGTGATAATGTAGTGCGGCTGCTCCTGTGGAGTTTCGCGCCCCTGAAGCATCCAATACTGCCTGTCCCTCTTATTGTTCATAAATCGAACATATTGTCGGCCGTCTTCTGGGTGGCGAGGAGTCTGCGCCAAAAGCGCTTGCGGGTTTCCATGGCTATCGAGAAGGTGGTGGTTAATAAGAGGAACGAGCATTTTCTCAGACTCTCGGTTGAGGAGGGTCAAGAATCCCATCGCAAAGCCTTCGTACAAAGCCCTACGAAGACCGTATGAGGGAGCAATTTCAGTCACGTAACTTAATACGCGAGTAAGTGTACGCAAACTGAAGTGAGGGACTTGGCTTGCTCCGTCAACGAGTTGCTTCTCATCTGCCATGCGCTTTGTGTTCATGTACAGGCGTGCAACATCGTGGGCGGCCCGCTCATCATTGGTGCTCGAGCTCTTGAGGTAGACTTTGATGACTGCTAGGAGGTCATCCAGGTTCTTGTCGGGGCTGTCCACGTAGATCTCTGTGAACCTCGACCGCAGGCCCATAGGTAAATCCCGCTTTCCGACATCTGTAGCGGGGTTCATGGCTCCAAATATGCGGAAGTTCGGGTGCGCCTGGACTCTTTCTATCTCACCCGTCTCGGAAAGAAGAATGGATGGCTTGGTGCCAGAACCACTCAGAAGGAGGTCTGCAATGCTTTCTAGGGTATCAGGGGATGCCAAGTTGATCTCATCAAGCAACACCCATTCACCATTCCTCGCAGCCTTCACGATATTTCCCTCCACAAATGTGAACGCAAACCCCTTCGAGCCGCCAGAGAGTTGCACATCAAATTGCTCCAAGTTCTTTGAGAACAGTTCCCAGCGAGGTTTGAGAGATAGCAAAGACTGTAGCTTTGATTCTGTCTTTCTCCTTTTCACTGGTGCCTCTGGCCCTTCTCTTGCCTTGGCAGCATCGAGCTTCTCAAGATCCGACACTATCCTGTCGAACATCTTCGGCGCTTCCCGCCATAATTTGGAAGCTTTGGTCCAATGCCCTTTCGCAACGCACTTGCCTATCGACTCGAGATATTTCTGATTTCTGCTTGCAGAAATACCAGTAGCCGCAAATAAGTCATCAAACTCCTCTTTCAAGGGAATCGCCAAACTCCTGACATTCACCGGCTTGAAGCCACCAAGCAAGTCTCCGACCTCACTCTGCTGAGACAGATTGACGGCGGTGAGCTTGTACCCGAGTGAGTCCGCAAGTTGTTGGATAACAGTCGTTTTACCGATACCTGTCTCGCCAACCAGCAAGACAGGCTCGGCCATTTTCAGGGCAACGCCGACTTGCTCTAGCAGTCTCTTCGCGTGGGTGGTGTTGGCAAATGGCCGGGTCTTCTTGGACAGTTTGCTAACGCGGTGTGATGTTCGTCGCTTGGGGATAGTGACTCTCCCGACCTGTAGATGCGTTTCCGTGTCGTTGAGGCGTGGGACGTGGTTATCCAAATAGTGGGCAGCTCTTTGAGGAGGGATGTGCATCTCCTCTGCAATCGCTGTGATGACGGTTTTTCTAGCTTCTTCGGTTTGAAGGCTGCTCGCAAAGCAGTCCGCAGCCTCCATAAACATCTCATCCTTGGTCCCTTCTGTAATTGGCTCTTCTCCAGTCTTAGAGCCTGCAGCAAGTAGGGTAGCTTCCAGGCGACGGCACCACTTCAATAAATCGCGGGGGCTTATTGGGCGTCCCAAAGAAGTTTTGCTTTTCAAGGCAAACGATGGGTTTTGAGCCAACGAATAGAGGCGCTCATAGACCGAGATAATTCCTGGCAAAAACTTATGAAGCACAGGGTATGTGCCGTTTATAATTTCTTGGAACTCCTGCCGGCTAGGCATTTTAACTGGAACTCTGTTCCATAACCTTGCTCCAAGCATGTGCATCGCTGGAGGATTTTCTTGTCCGTTCATATTCAATGAAGTTCGAATGCTGGCAATCAAACGAAATCCGGGTGCCGCCCGAATCGTCTCTCCTCGGCTGGGTATCAAAAGCTCTCCTCTCTCTATTAATGGTAAAATAACACTGATAACTTCATTAGGCGCACGATCAAGATCTTCAATAAAAACCCAGCGACCTTCACGGATCGCCGTGGTTAATACACCGGCGCGCCACGTAAATGATCCCGGTGTTGTGTCTGTAGCATACATGCCAATTAACATCTTTGCATCTGTCTGCTCATTGAGATGCAGTGTGACCATAGTCGACTCTTTTCCAAGCTCCCGGGCAAAGTCATTAACCAATGATGTCTTGCCTGCTCCAGAAAGCCCATGTATGAGTAGGGGAGAACTTGACAGGAGTGCTTGCGCAAAGTCCTCTTTATTGTTGGCAGTTGTGATTGTGGTAATGAGAGACGAACCCCTTGAGGGCGTCCCATCAGGGCGAGGGAGGAGCACCTGCCCGCACCTGACAACCAGTGGGGAGAGTCCTTGAGGTTGTAGCTGTTGTGGTCCACTTTCAGAAGCCTGCATGGCGAGCCTCATGGCAGCAACATCTTTTATCTTCCGGGCTTCGTAGAGACTTAGAAATCCGTAATCAATATTGTCCCCGTCATAATCTCCCATGACAGGGCTATTCTTGCCCACATGAGCTGCCAATAGCTCCTCGAGCTTCGCATCAGATGCCGATAATAGCAGCGCAAGTATCCTCGCGGCAAGATATCTGACTACCAGGTTGTCATGTCGTAATAGATTTTGTATCCTACTTGCTGATATCAAGCCAGTATATAATGCCCTATCAAACCTCAGAAGTCGGAAGCCTGCAAGTAAGAGCGACTGCAGTCCCGCATCTGATAGTTCTGAAATATTGCTCGAGGATTCGTCCGACAAATATCGTAATTCGCGGCCGGAGGTGGTATTACTTTGGCTGGTGGTGTAGTTTGCCAAATAAACGTGGAGGTACGGCGCAAACGGTAGAATTCTCGCAAAAGCTTCGATTATGGCAGGATCTTGCTCTTTCCCTTGTCTTCCTTCTACCCATCTTGAACAGGTGTCTCCGAAAATATTCTCGAATCGTGCGAAAACCCTTGTCGTCAATCGTGGTATCGCACCCGCAGCAGCTATCGCATCCAGATACCGTTGAGAGCTTCCGTTGCGAATTATGCTGAGAATTTCAGAGGGTAATTCCCCCAAGACAATCTCATCTTGAAGGATTGCCTCGTGCCCCTTGAACATATTAATTTCGTCCATGGCGCGGGGTATGGCATCGACTCAATGTCGAAGTTTGGTTTGTTATCGCCGCTGTATCTGAACTTTTTTTTGGAGAGCGATGGAAAATCGCATGCACGGACCAACACGCGGCCGCTTCCACCAGGTCCAAATTGCCGCTAGTGGCCGACGGAACCTCGAATTTCTTCAAGCTGCGCGTGTCGATTGTTACTGCACGAGATACCTTAATTACGCCCTCCTTCACACACCCCACGATGTCTTTATCCTGCCAATTCGCGGCCAGAAGTGCCGTTCGCTCCTTGAGGGCCGCCGGGGGAGTTAGAGTTGCATCTGCGACGCTCGCCCAACGGCGATGGAACTCGACAGAGGCTGCGACCAACCCAAAGATCTCCACGATCGTTGACCAGATCAGCCAATTGACTCTTCTCGAGACTGCCGACCTTGTCTCTACTCTTAAGGTGAGATGCACACTCCGCGAGCGTTTGAGATGGCTCAGATGAAGACCGCATGTTCCTCGGGAACTTTTTTGCGGTTTCCCCTGTTCCACCAGAGCGCATTAACATCCATTATCTCAAACTTGGTTTATATAACTAACACATCCTCCTTAGACCCGCCTCAACATCCCAGATATGCCAATGGGAGGTTTCGCCGCCGCCGGCCCAGCAGCCCCAGCCGCCGCCGTCGAGGAGGAGGCCGCACCAGTACAAGCCGAGAAGACCCTCTTCAACCTCAAGCTCGACTCTTTCGAGGCCGGCTCGAAGCCAAAGATTATTAAGGAGATTAAGAGCATGCTTGGCCTGAGCTTGGTGGATTCGAAGAAGTTCGTTGAGTCGGCACCGAAGATGCTGAGGGAAGCCGTGCCAAAGGAGGAGGCAGACAAGATTGTGGAGCTGTTGAAGGGACTTGGTGCCAAGGTTACGATGGAGTAAACTGGCACCACTGTATATCTAGGAAGCATCATGTTGGGATAGAAGCATTGCCGGGGCGGAAGATATTGTACCATTAGCATAGGGGTGTATAAAATGTACTTCTCTTCAAACTACTGCAACCTCTTTTGACACAATTTCGGTGTCTTCTTACACTACTGCCATGTCTTTCGATATCATCCCGGCATCGTCCCAGGATCTGTTTCTTGAAATATTGGGGCTATTCAAATTTGTCTTACGTTCGCTACTGAATTGTCGATGACCTTTTTCAGTGCATGGTCAACCCCACGCACCAATAAGTAAGCACATAGGAGAAGTCATTCATGAGTGAACAAATATAGGTTTATACGTATGTTAGCCTCTATATTTACCGTTCCTATATTGGTGTTCAAGGGACCATCGGTATTCAACTATGGTGGCTATAACTCTAGTTTACTGTCATATAAATTTTACTATTTATCGCCCAAACTATTTAATATTTATTCACTACAACGAGAGGCCCTTAATAAGTCAATATTTAACTTAGTACCCATAATTATAACAGAAGCTAGATTTATATAAATATTTTGCTTGTCACATAATATTCAGACTTTTGAATAAAAGGCATGTTATGGCACGAGATGAGCATTCGCCATTTCATAGTCGACCTGATTTCAACTATATCTACACATGTGTTTGGCTTATAAGGCCGTATAGTCTACCCCTATCATAAATCAACAACGGGTCTTGTGGTCTAGTGGTATGATTCTCGCTTAGGGCTCACCCTACAGCTACAATTTGCGAGAGGTCCCCGATTCGATCTCGGGCAAGACCCCATTCTTTTTGCATTTTTCTTCTCTGAAATGCATCAGCTACCGTTTCTTTTTTGCATATGGAAAAGGCCGGTGCTGGCCATCAAGCACATGGTGGTTCTCTG